AGCAGCAAAAGCCGAAAAGGGCAGAATTAAGGTTACGGCTTCCCAAAAAAAGGGCAGAGTTTAGGTTATACGCGGGCAGAAAAGGGGCAGAGTGAAGCCCACTGAGATGCCATCAACCCTCCCAACCTGCTTGGCTGGAAAGCAGGACCGCCGGTGCCACCTGGACCAATTCCTGGTTGGCCTCAGCCCATCGACACCAAACCCGCCGGGCACCGCTGCCCCCACGGCCTCCTACCCCGGGACGTGGCAGTGGGCGGCCGTCAGCACCCAGTTCTTGTCCACCAGCGTCCCCCCGCAGATGAACTTCTCGCCTTTGAAGAGGGCAGCCTGCCAGGGCAGGTCGCAGGAGGTCCCCTCAATCACCCACAGGACATTCCTCGAGGCTGTGGGGACAAAGGGACATGGCACAGGGGACACAGATGGTCTGGAACCCTCGCTGATGTCACCCGCCGCAGGGACATGGGACACGGGTAGGCTGGGACCCTCTGGTGTGACGTGACCGCCCCTGGTGGCCCCATCCCCGTGTCCCCTGAGTCCCGGACAAGGAGGTGAATCAGTGGTGGAAGAGGCCAGTCCAGCTTGGGAGAGACCAGGAGGTCAAAGGGGTGGACAGGGGGCACCTGGGACAGATGGGGGTCCCTGGGGTGAATGGGGGGAGGTCCCGTGGGTGGACATGGGGCCCCATGTGGGGCAGACATGGGGGTCTCACAGGTGAACGTGGGGCCCATGGGGTGGGCATGAGCACCCCTGGGGCAGATGTGGGGCACCCACGCCAGACACGGAGGGTCGCATGGGTGGATGTGGGTTCTCAGGTATGGTTGGGGAACACCCAAGGTGGGTGTGGGGCAGTCCCATGAGGAGGTGTGGGGTGCCTGGGGTGGTTGAGGGACACCCGCGACAGACAAGGACCCCCAGGGTGGATTTGGTGGTCCCACAGGTAGACGTGGTACCCCTGGGGTGGACACAGGGGTCCTGCAGGTGGATGTGGGGGTCCCACAGGTGGACACAGGACACCCAAGGTAGACATGGGGGGTCCCACAGGTGGACATGGGGGTCCTTGAGGCAGACATGGGGCACCTAGGGCAGATGTGGGGCCCCTGGTGAAGACACAGGGGTCCCACAGGTAGATGTGGGGCATCCAAGGTTGATGTGGGGGTCCCAGAGGTGGACATGGGTCATCCAAGGTGGACGCAGGGGTCACACAGGTGGACATGGGGCATCCAAGGTGGACTTGGGGGGTCCCAGGGGTGGAAACAGGACCCCTTGGAGAAGACATGGGGGTCCCACAGCTGGACTTGGGGCATCCAAGATGGACATGAGGGTCCCACAGGTGGACATGGGTCATCCAAGGTGGACATGGGGGTCCTGTGGCAGGACCCGGGTCATCCAAGGTGGGCATGGGGGTCCCGTGTGTGGAAATGGGTCATCCAAGGTAGACATGGGGGGGGGTCCCACGTGCAGACATGGGACCCCTGGGGAAGATACCCGACCCATGGGGTGGAGGTGAGGGTCCCACAGAAGGACATGGGGCATCCAGGGTGGACACGGTGGTCCCATGGGTGGACATGGGGCACCCAAGGTGGGCGTGAAGGTCCCACGGGCAGAAACGGGACTCCTTGGGGTGGATGTGGGGGTCCCATGGGTGGTCATGGGGCATCCAAGGTGGAGGACACGGACATCCCATGAGTGGAAATGGGTCATCCAAGGTGGACATGGGGGTCCCGTGGGAGGATGTGGGGCATCCAGGGTGGGTGTGGGCGTTCCACAGGTGGACGTGGGACCTCTGGGATTGGACACAGGACCCTCCAGGGCAGACATGGGCATCCCACGGGTGGACATGGGGGTCCCACGGGTGGATACGGGGGTCCCACGGGTGGATACACCTGTGGCTACCGCGGGGAGATGGCGGGGGGGTGACTCCGGCCCTGGGTGGCCCCTGGCAGGGTGGGGGTCAGGGTGGGGGTCGGAGTGGGAGTTGGGGCGGGGACACGGACCTTTGGGGACACGGGGTTTCAGGACAGGAGGTAAACGAGGATGGGGAGGAAGGAGGGAAGGGAGGATGGGAAAGGGAGGACAGGAAAGGAAGGAAGGGAGGACGGGAGGACAGGGAAGGGGAAGGGAAGGGAGGGGAGGAAAAGGGAGGAAAAGAAAGACCAGAAGGTGAGAGGGAGGGCGGGGGAAGGGACGAGAGAAGCGAGGGAAGGCCAGGAGGTGTCCTGACTCCCCCTTGGGGCCCTCCAGGGACCCCCTCCCACATCCCCCAGTGGGTGTCACCCAAACCCCCACCCCAACCCCAGGGCCCCATCTTCCTACCGAGGGCTGGCGTGGGGCCGCGCGGCCACGGGGAGGGCAGGCTCCACCCAAGCTGGTAAAGCGCCGCGGCCGCGGGCGCGTCTTCCTCCTGCCACCGCCAACTCCGGGTTTTTATCTGGGGCCGGAGGAGGAAACAGCTTCCTCCGCCTTCTCCTCTAATCCGGCCACGGCTCCGGCACCTTCCGCCAGGCTCCAGGAAACCTGTGCCATGGGGTGGCCCCACTGGGTGGGGGACTGGGCTGGGATGAGGATGGTCAAAAGGTCAACGGGATGCGGCTCTGGTGGGGTCAACCCCAAAACGTGGCTCTTTGGTACCAGAACCTGGGGCTGGACGAGGATGGTTGAGAGGACACCAGGACACATCTCCAGTGGGGTCAATCCCAAAACGTGGCTCCTTGATGGGTACCAGAACCTGAGGCTGCATGAGGATGGTTGAGAGGACACCAGGACACATCTCCAGTAGGGTCAACCCCAAAACGTGGCTCCTCACCGGACACGGGACCTGTGCTTGGAGGACAGTTAGGAGGACACCGGGACCCAGCTCTAATGGGCTCAAACCTGAAATGCGGCTCCTCATTGGACACAGGACAAGGGCAGTCGAGAGGGCACCAGGACACGTCTCCACTGAGGTCAACCTCAAAAACGTGGCTCCTCGTTGGGTGCAAGACCTGGGGTTGCACGAGGACAGTAGAGAGGAGACTGGGACAGTCTGATGGGATCAAACCCAAAACGCGGTTCCTCGTCAGATGCAGAAACCAAGGATGGACAAGGCTGGTGGAGAAGGCACCGGGATGTGGCTCTGATGTGGTTGGACCCCAAACCAAGGCTCTTTGTTGGGTGTGGGAACCCGCAGTTAGATGAGGACAGTCCAGAGGACATCAGGACACGTATCTGGTGTGGTCAACCCCAAAATGGAGCTCCCTCTCCGGTGCAAGACAGGGAGTTGGATGAGGGTGGCTGAGAAGGCACCAGGACACGGCTCTGGTGGGACCAAACCCAAACCGTGGATCCTCATTGGACACAGGACCTTGGGTTGGATGAGGATGGTTGAGAGGGCACCAGGACACATCTCGGATGGGGTTGGACCACAAAATGTGGCTCCTCACTGGCTGTAAGACCCTGGGTTGGACGAGGATGGTTGAGGGGGCGTGTCGCTGATGGGGTTGGCCTCCAAAACATAGCTCCTTGATGGACGCGGGACCCAGGGATGGAGAAGGTGGTCAAGAGGCCACCAGGGCCTGTCTCCAGTAGGCTTCAAGCCCAGAACGTGGCTTCTCATTGGGTGGCACGTTGGCCGAGAGGTGCTGGGACGTGTCTCTGATGAGGGGTCACCCTGAACCGTGGCTCCCCGCCGGATGCAGAACGTGGGGTTGGCCGAGGACAGCTGAGAAGCACCGAGACGTGGCTCGTCCTTTCTCTTGCCCGTTTTTCCGCGTTTCCTCTTGGTCTCTCAGCCTTTCTCCTTCTGTCCGTCCTTGCCTTCGTTCCTGGGCGCCTCCAACCCCGCCGAGCAAACCCCGCGGACGCGCCCAGCCCCTCGCCTCATCCCCCACGGTCCTAAGTTCGGGGGTGGGGTGGGATAGGGGGGGAGGGGAGGGTGTGTGTGATGGTGACCCCATGCCCGGCATCGTGGCGATCACCAGCCACCCCCATTTCTCTTGGTCCCTCAAGAAGGAAGAGGGGGTTGCTCCCACGTCTCCTCCTCTTCCTCCGCACCACCGCAGGGGCCTCCCACTTCTTCCCCGTCCAACCCCAGAGGACCCCGCGGAACCTCCCAGATCCCGTGTCACCTCGGGGGCAGGGAGCCGCTGCTGGAGCGGGTCCTTCCAGTCGCCTGGAAAGCCCAGTTTAACCCTGCCCTGTCACTGGGGCGGACTGGGCTGGGCTGGGCTGGGTTGACTCAACCCCCTCCTGGATTGTCTCGACTTGCCCTGGGCCCATCGTTACCCAATCAGCTCTGGGCTCATCAAGAGGCCTCTTAATGAGCTCAGGTGTTAATTGAGCTCCAGGCAAGTCATCAAGGTCATAATTACCCGGTTCTAATTAACCCGGGCTGTCCCGGCCTGCACGGAGCTCCCATGGTGCTTTGCGTCAGGGAGACTTTGTTGGGGGGGGAATCTGGGAAATTGGGGGGAAGGGAGGGGTCTCAGTGCCCTGCCCCCACTGTTCCCACAGACTGGAGAGACCCAAACTGGTCCCGGTCCTTCGCTGCAGCTTGTCCAGCTGGAACAGAGAGGAACGATGCCACGGGTGGGTCCCCTGAACTCTGCCCCCCCGGCAAGGAGATACCCTTAACTCTGCCCCCCCCCCCCCCGTAATCCACCAAACACACACACACCACAACTG